TACCAGAGCATGAAGACATAGCATCATCAGTGATTAGCTTCTTCTCGGCTGCTGATAGTAACTCTTTGGTTCTCATCAGTCTGTACGAATCAATACCATGAAGATACTATCAAAGTATCTTTGGTTACTTTGATCGTAACCAAAGATAGTAACTATTTGGTTACTATCTTTGTAACCAAAGAGTTACAAAGATAGTTGGTTCACTTCAGTCTGTACGAATTAATACCATGAAGAGGAAAAGATGTAGTAGGATCAACTAATATGAAAAACTGTGTGACTTATAGTCCATAAAATACAGTTATAAGCACCAGGCTATCAGTCCAGTTTTTGTGTCCTTATTGTCCCTGAGAAAGATGTACAACACATTAGCAGCGTTTCTGACTGGGGTCAAGTTTTCACAGGAAATCTTTGGTTGGTGCAATACTGAAAAAATACACTAATGACAGCTTAGTTGCCATAACTGTCTCATTAAACTATGACGGGTCATGACCAATGACAGAGATACTTCCATTAAATATAACACAACGACAATGAACCGGAATAATTTCCTGCTGAAATTCAAAATGTAATTTTCTTTTAACACTTGCTGCTTATTTCTTATTTAGTCTAACAGTTAAATATTATGCTTACTGTAAATCTGAAACATCACTTTCTATTTTTAAAGATGGAGAGTCCAGGTTCAAGTCTAGACTTCTAAAACCAGTTGCAGGCCACAAGAACTTCAAGTAAAGGCAGCATCAAATGAGACTCTGTCTGCTGACAACGCTTTATTGGGGAGAAAAAAAAGACCTCTCTAGACATCTTTTAAGGCAATGATTAGAGTGAAAGACCAAGTCCTTCTCAAGAAAGCTACTCATGTTAATTAGTCTTTGCTGGAGAGTCGTCTGATTGCTTACAACCCTCTTTTTTTGTCTGTATCTACAGAACCTTCTGTGAGACACATCAGAGCTTGCATATTTTCATTGTTTGTCACCTGAAAGCTTAATTTATGTATCCAATTTGATTAATTAATTTTACTTTTAAAGAATTAGCATGTTACATCTCAAGTCTGATCTGATTGCTTGAATTGCTAATATGTTTAGTGTATTACACACAGGACCATTTGATCATGGGGATCAGCTGCTCTTGCTAGTTTTAGAAGTTATTTTATTGGGAACTTGTATAAAAGATAAACAAAATAAAAGGACATATTTAAATAAAGTTGGATGTGTAAAAAAACATGGTCATTTGAATATCAGGAAAAATACATCAGAAAAGCTTATAAAGTTTAAAGAGTACCATTCCATTCTTATTTCAAAGCTTCAGTGTGGCATTGAGCCTGCTGGAAGTGTAATATTATAACTATTAGATTGCTATGTTATTATGTAAGAATATTGAGCCACATTAAATTATTATAATGTTCATAAATCAACCAGTGTCATAACTCCTGAAAAAGAACAGCCTAAAGGATAAATTGTCTTCCTTCCCATTGAGTGATCTCTATTACATTCTGAAAGAACCACAATATATCTGTATAGACTTAGCATTGCAATTTATTTTTGAATGAACAGTTAATGCATTATTAATTATGAAGAACCAATGAGCAGCAGTAATCCATAAACAACTTCAAGACTGAAGTTTATGAGCGCTTGGTGGTTCAGTTGGTAGAGCGCTTGCATTGTGCAAGAAACTTAAACAAGAAAAAAATTCAAAATACTAATAAACTGGTTAAAAACTTAAAATGTACAAGGAGTTTTTAACTACAATAGTTACTTATTTAGGGTCTAGATTACCAAGATTTTACAGGGGTCTTCAGAGACCCAAGGGGACAGTCGTATTGACGTCTAACATGACTGTAATGTAAAAGGAGACCTTAGAAATGGGAGATGTTTGCAGTTTCTGTAACTTTTTTCTCCTGTATTCTGGCTGACTACAGAGGACAAACGCTTAAAAAAAATCTGGTTTGATGCTAGGTCTTTACATGTTCTGTACGCTGCTTAGTTTGGGTGTGGGTGGTTTTAGTTTGCATTTTGTGCTTCTATATTACTCTACATCCTACACATAACATTCTTTACCAACACTTTGGAGATAAGTAAAGACTGAGCAGGAAAATTCCACCACTCTGTTGCATTCTTTGTGATTTTGTTTTCTTAAGTTTTGAAACTTGGAGTTTTCTCAGTTTTATTTTTAGGTGGGCCATCAGTTGGTTTTCTTGTACATGTTTTCTTTGGAAGCTTCTGTTGGTCTTCACTCACTTCTTTCCATCCTGGCATATTTCAGAAAACTTGTTCCTAAAGCTTTGGCTTATTTTTGCCTTCTTGCTTTTGTTTTCCACTTGATTAGAGTTATTAATGTTTGTTCCATGATGTTATTTAAATTTTAGTCTTTCTGTCATGCATTGTCATGCCCTCATCCTCTGTTTTTTTCTTTGATTGTTACATCTTTCATGTCTGCATTGGTACCGGCACTCTTGCACTGTGTGTAAACGTTAAACTCCGTTTTTCTAAGGAAAGGAGTGTGAATAGAAAAGGAAGCAAAGAGTGGGACAAACAGGGGAGTAAAGCTTACTAAAAAAAAATATTTAATTCAGAGAAGTCTAATCTTAACCCACGTATAATTGCTTCTCCGATTACAAAATGTTTAATATGGCAATTATGATTTTCTGTATAGCAATCTAAAAAAAAAAAAGACAGATAATCTACAGAGATATCACCCTTCTTCTGTCCTGGTTTGACAAACATTTGCTCTCCCCATGATAACCAAGATTTGCTCTTTCATCATCTGATCCTTCCTGTTGGCAAGGAAGAGAATTGAAACAGCCAGAGAAAGGTGTTGACTGTACTTAACCTGCATGTGTCATGCTCTCCCTCTCCGCTGTTCAACTGTGCCCAGGTTATCCCAGTACACACGGGATATCTTTCTGTGGTGACTGGTTGAGCGGCTTACCTGGGAGCTGTGTGCTGGGAGACACAGCGTGGATTAACTGGAGCAGCCACTGAAGCAGCAAATGAAAGGATAGCAGGCTCTGTGTGTTTCTTTCACTATCACAAGTGTATGATTAAGTTCTTGTGATTTGATTTGCTTCATACACAGATTTGTGTTGATTGCCAACAGATATCTGAAAACTTTGGCTCACATTCACCGTTTGGTTTCTTGTTATTCAAGAAGCATAGAGTAACGACTTCATTGATTTGTAGTGTGGAAAGGGATACAGGGCCATTTCTAAGACTCTGGGATTCCACTGATCCATAGTAAGAGCCATTGTTTACAAATCGAGAAAACAATGAACAGTAGTGAATCTTGCCATGACTGGCCAACCTAATAATTACTTCAGCAGTTCTTCAACAGCTCATCTAAGAGGTACCAGAAAACCTAATTCAACATTTACAGTAGACATTTACATTTTCTCTTACCTCAGTTAAGGCCAGTGGTCATGATTTAACAAAAGAGAAAAGACTGGGTAAACCCGGCAGACATATGAGACAAAGATGGAACTTATTGAAAAGCATGGGTCCCATTACATTTTTGCATTAAAACAGCCCAGTATTTTAGAGAAATAACATCATACCAAAACATGGCGATGATTGTATAATAGTCTGGGCTTGCTTTTTTACGTTAAGGCCTGGACGACTTGTCATAATTGACGAAGCCTTCAAACCTTCAAGAGACTCCACCTCCACAGTGATCAAAGTCTTGGAGTGGACTAGTCAAAGTCCATACTTAATCAGATTGAGCTGCTGTGACGTGCTCAAAAACCCTCAACTGTGGAAAAATTAAAACTGTTCAGCCAACAAGAGCATTTCAGAAACTACTAAAATACAGCAACATATTCTTATTGCATGTAAGCCTTTTATTTACTGCAAATTTGTAAAAATGCTAACTGCAAAATCCTACAAAGCGTGGTGACAGGACAGGCTAACACTTTAAGAAGCAGACATTGGAGGAGGAAATTTATGACTTGACTATAAACATAATTCCTCTGTCACAGTTGTTTTAATCTATATGTGATTAGATTTCAGGTTTATTTTGTTGTTTAAATGTTTGCTTTGACCAAAGCAGTTGAGTGACAGAGTTAAAACACCTTTTTATGAAGTTGAGTCAGAGTTTCAGCATGGATGACACATTCTGAATAATCACTTCATCTGGGCATGTCAAGTCGCCTCTCGAAACTGAAATTCTTCTGCTTATGTCTTCCATGTGTATGTTAGTACTAAATTAAACTGGATCTAGTTAAATAAGTACATTTGAAATGAAATCATTTACCAGTGGACACTGTTGTGTTTGGAGTAGACTCCAGCAATGCTTGTTATTCAACTCTTTTGTGATTGTATGCATAATACCTAGTAATGTATTTGACTCTTCTATGTTCATGCACAAAGATCAGGCTTCTCGCCAAAGAGGAAAATGTGATTACTCTGTAATACACTGCACAACTCCGACCTATGCTCATTCCTCTGCGAGCTGAGCAAGTCATTTTCCCCATTATGTGCGAGTGTGCTACAAAATCTGCAACATTTGAGAGCTTCTCAGCTCGCTGCCTGCCACTAATGTGTCAAATGGACAATGGGGTGTTTAGGCTCATTTCAGCAGAAGGGGTTTTATGATGTTGAAACAAGTTGTCAGAGAGAGGCAGATGATGACACAGAAATCTAATGTCTCTGCATCCTCCCAGCAAATGAGGTTGTGTTCTGTTTTTTGTTGTCTTTTTTTAAACTTTGCTTCCAAACGTAGATTTGTCTGCAGTTGTGTCTTACTGAATGAGCAAATTCTGCAATTAACAAGCAGGTTCACTGAGGCAAAGGAACAGCTCGAGCTTGGATGTGCATCTCTCTCTGTCACAAACAGATCAAGAGAAAAGACAGGATGTGCAGATGGAAACATAAGAGAGACAGAGAGAAGAAAGCGCTTGTGACCGCCTTAGATTAAAAAGCAGCAGCAGCAGAAGCGTGAACACAAGCATGTGAGGAGGAGAGGCTGAGAGAGGGAGAGAGGAAAACAGGGAGGGGAGGATGAAGAGGGGAGGGCTCCTCTCGGCATCATCTGACAGGCGAGAGGCTGATCTCGACAGCAGGTGTTGGAGGATAGAGAGGCTGAGCCAGACGCATGGAGCGAGCGATACGCGGACGAGCACCAAGTTATTGAAGAGGGAAGGCTGAGCTGTGAGTGAGGTAGCACCAAAGACAGGTGAGCATGGAGAGATATATGAAAGAGTGCACTGCCTTTGTGGGGATAAACTGCTGATGACGGAAGACGGATGAATTGAGCTTAACTCAATGACAAGACTTGACAGATAAAGGAGGAACTGACGGGATAGACGCAGCTCAAAAGATTCTGCCTCTTGTACAACTCTGCTGATCAGCTCAGATCTCTTCATCCCACTGGGTGCCACTCTGAATGCTGAACTTTCTCTATGTGCCTGCTGCTGTTGTCCACACAGGAAGTAGACGTATTTTATCTCGAGTAAATGACTCTGCTTTCATTGTGCATTAGCTGCTGGACTTGATTAGATTAGTTGCTCTCTACTAAGTGGACCTGCAAAGCATAGGGGTTTATGTGTGTAGTTGCGAACAATCAAACAATGTCTGGGTGTGTGTGTGTATGTGCGCGCATTTGCGTGTGTTTGTGTTTGTGTGTGTGTGCCACTTAGTGCCCACGTCTTTGTTGGACTAGGAGAAGAAAAAGATGCATCAGGGCAAAATATTCTTCCTAAAGCAAAACTGTGATCTAATTATTATTTGTGCTCAGTATACATAATGAATCCTAGATATGCAAGCCCAGGGCAAGAATGTCATAACAATGCAGTGAAACCTGATGTTGTTACAAAGAGAATGAACTGGAGATACGCATACTTTTTTGTGAGCACTTGAACTTAATTGAGCCTCATTTGCCTCATAAATCAATGATTAGTAAGCCGAAAATGTGCCAGCATGTCTGCAAAGTTTGTGTTTTGCCAAAGTGAAGCCTCCCATTAGTCATTCTGGCTTTACTCAGAGATCTTTCACTTGGTGACATTGATAAAAGAAGTGGGTGATGGCAACAACCTTGGATTTTTAGTGAAACACTCCAATAAGACGGGCAGCAATCATGTTCTCAAATTAAGACAGGAAGCAAATTGCTGTTTCCCCCTGTGGTGTGGGTGATAGGTGTGTTGATTTTGGTGTTTTTGTAGAGTCATTTGCATTGGAAACCCATTTCCTTTTTCAAATACTGCAATGAGAAAAACATGTTATCAGGACCTCCACTGGCAATTCACACCTTATAATAAGTGTATGACCCAAGTTTTCCTGTTGCAATGTTTCCCAGTTGGTGGTAGCATTGACTCAGATGTTGCTTTTAACGACAAACAACAAGAAATGTTATTACAACATTATACTTTCAAATGTGTAGTGACTCGTTAACATTTCAGTTTTTGTGATTTAAAAAAAAAACAAGACCACAAAAGAAAATTCTAAAACTTCTGCAACAAAAAAGTTTTTGATAGAATTTCACAGGATAGTGTGACATTTATCCTTTGCAATTAAACAGAAAAGCAAAGAAATCTGGACAAAAAGAGTATAAAAGCTGAGATAAAGTGAATCCGGCTTATTTACTGTTCAGTATTCAAGGATTCACCAATTTGTGGATATTTCTGTGGAACATTATTCTTGAAAAATTTGCCTATTTTCAGATTTTATTGTTGAACATATCTGAAATATTTGAATTTAAATGCAGCTTGGGAAACAAACACTTAGGGACAATGCTACTTGACACACTATTGGCAGGTGTTTGTAAACCAGCCAATCCTGGAGCGGCCCTTATTTCTCTGTAACTGATTCACTGTATTCCAAGGGCAAAGATAAGAAAGAGCAGGAATGTTTACATCTGCGACAGTGCCAACATATTTTCCAATGTTAGTAATGATGTATGTTAAGGTATATTTGATGTTTGAACTTTTAAAATAGGCAGTTCTATGCATTTTTAGAGGGGCTCTCAAATATTTGAATATTTGCAGATTTTAGATAGTTGCAGCGTTTGTAGTACGTAACCCCTGCAAATATTGAGGGTCCACTGTAACCTGGTTGTGAAAATGTATGCATCCAAACTAAAACTAATTTCTGCATGTCACGTCACATAAATTCTTGGAAGCTATTAGATAATGAGAACATCATATGCACACAGATTTAGTCATGCTTACTTGTTGATTCTGCATTGAACATTCCCAAAACCTTGTTTTCTTGCTTCTCTTTGTTGTTTTTTGCCAAACCTACAGTTTTTGAAGTATGACCTAAAACATCAGTTTGTGGTTCATGGGAACACAAAACATTTCCTCATAATGAGTTGGAAGAATCTCCTTTGTCCACAGATGGTGAGGAAGACAGGACATTGTTATTACATGTCGTACACAGCCAGTCAATTTTTTTCTGCATTGGTATCAGTTTTAAATGAATTAAATGATGTAGTGACTTTCTTTGGATAAGATGTCAAACAGCACAGAAGATGAGCAGCATTTGTTACATTCCTTGACACCCAAGCGACAAGACGGTTCTTGCAATCATCTTTGCTTACATTAGTGTATCAGACTTTAAATTAGACATTGACCTCAACATCAGAATAGAGGTCTTAAGACAGATTTTCCTATGGAGCTGGTAAAAAAGACACACAGGTGTCTTTTTCTTGCAGGTATAACTGTTATTCTTCAAGTTGGAAGTGTAAATTCATTTCAATTCAAGTTCAAAGTTTTAAGTCCATGGTTCTGATGCTGCTGCTGCAACAAATGACGACAAATGAGATTGCACTGTTCACAGCAGACTTACAGAAAATAATATGCAACATCTGCAGTCAAGTTAAGTGTATGGGAGATGGAGAAAAAGTTGAGAACAGCTGGTGTAGCGGTTTGTGAATGCTTTGTAGACTGGGAACAACTGTCTTATCTTAAATGTGAACAAAGCAATGGAGAATATTGTAGATTTCCACAGAAACAGACTGTTTCCATCATGGGAGAAGAAGTGGAGGTTGTGGAGGAATATAAATATTTTGGTGTTCAGCTGAACAACAGGCTAGACTGGAGACACAACAGTGAATCAGTATACAGGAAGGAACAGAGCAGATATGCATCCACACTTCAGTCAGCTTGGTTGGTTGACTGGTCTTCTCATTAGATGGACTTGGAGCTTTTCCTTCAGAACAAGTTATACACTCCATCATTGAAAGTCCATTTTTGTATTGGATCCTTAAAAAACTAAATCTTAGAACTTGCATCAACAATTGATGTTGTTTTCTGGAAGTGAAAGAGATCACACACAAACAAAATGATTGAAGTCATTGCCTTCAAAGTTGAACTTCTTGAGCACCTTTCTTCTCAGATGATTTAGTCTCCTCATTTTATAAAACAGTCACAACTAACATGAATAAAGCAAGTGTGATCCTGTTGGCCTTCGTCAAACATCTCCAGAGATTCAGTTTTCACTGAACGACAAGCCAAAAACTATGGTGGCCACCATGATATTAGGCAAGTGGTTTTAAAGTTGTGGCAGATCTACCACACCTTTCAACAATTAACCAAACATAATCTTAATGCTTGTTATCTTAGCCACGTTTACAATCTGCATGTCCACTGATTGCATGTATAAATTATGGCATGTTCTGGCAGCTGCTTGATAAAGTACTGACCTGGGTGTACCCCGCTTCTCACCGATTGATTCCTGGAGATATGAACCATCCTTCCTACGACTTTGCAAGCATTACACAGGCATAGAAAATGGATGGATGTTTGAGACATACAAAAACAGGAATTCCCGCTCTTCAAAAGAGTTCTTTGAGATATGAGAGTACTTAGTACAAATACATGCTTCATCTTTTAGTTTTTGTTTTTTTTGTAGCACATTTTAAGATGCATATGTCATTTTCCTTTCCCTTTGCAATTATTCTGTTCTCTGTGTTGGTTTATTTCCTAAAAACCCACACAGGAAATCTGTGGATGTAATATAGCAAAATGTGGAAAGCATCAAAAATTATGGAAGGCACTGGAAATGCAGAACAAAAGGTTGTTTTTCTTATCCCTCTGTTAATCTATGTCACTCAAGATCTTCATGCTAATGGGGAAATGTATATAAGCCCATTAGATCAGCTGCAACAGACCGTGTTATTCTGTTATTTGGAAAGCCCATAATAGCAACATTTGACAAGATGATGTCTGTCTCTGCCAACAGGGTTTTTAGCTAACTTTCATTGCCAAAGTAACCAGTGCATTGTTCAGCTGGACACACAGCCAACATTAAGCTTAAGGTCAGAAGGATTTTGGAGCAGCCATTGTCTAACTGCCAAAGAGCCTGCTGGATTCACCCTTAGCATTAATTTGAACAATTTTCAATTTTTTATCAATATGAAATACTGAAATATTTCCTAAAATATGTTTCATGCTTGTGATTAATTCTAATACTCGCTTGATTGCATAAGTGACGACACAAAGCTAAACATAACAATAAATTGTTTTGCACATTAGCGCTTGTTTGGTATATTTCAGATGAGCTTTATTCAATACATGACAGTTTGTCTATGGATATCAAAGGTTTTATTTAGTCTTCAGTCCAAAGGTTTTATGTTCTGCATGCCCTCAGAGAAACTTTACTTGGATAGCAAGCTATGTTGTTGACCTATCATCTGTTTCTATTTACTCTGATCTTTTGTGTACTCTGCAGACACATTTTCTCATCCTGAAATGTTTAAATCCATTTTACTGAAACATGTTGGTATTTAGAGGTACAACTTGGCCTTCAACATGATTGGATTGCAGAAATTCTTCTCAGACTTCATGAGCCACACACTCCATAGAGACTGCTACTGGTAAACACAGGATTAATTGGTGGATTTAATTTCAGACTGCCTTGTGTCCATTTGAGAAACATTCTAGCCACCATGAATGAGCAGAAAATCAGGAGATTACCTGAAGAAAACATTGTAAATGAAAAGCTATCAAATTAAAAATCTTCAAGGTCTCTGGCACTGTAAATTTAGCTTTGATTTAGTCTGTAGAATTTGCTCTTTTATTCTGCACTGGGTTTTATCACCATAGAACAAATGATGTGGTCTGTTCAGTTTTACTAACTAACCAATATGCAAAGGTTTGGGCATCCTGAAAACAGCAGAGAAATCCCCTTGAAGTGGCTGGACAGTGGGAGACAGAGAAGTAACCAAGTGGTCCATGG